CCCCTCAAGAGACTGGAGACAAACTCAGCGCTACTGCCAGCTGCAGCACATCCCTCTGAAACATTTCCCTGCCGGGAGGGGAGCAGCAATTTTCCCTATTTGTGTACTCTCTGTATATAGCCAGCGAGGTCAGCACTCAGCGGAGACAGCGAGGGGCGATTTCCTCACTAAACTGTGTATTGCGGTAAGTGAAAAATAAGCTTTAAGGGCCCCTATTATGCAGACAATAAAATGTTTTTCTATCACTGTAGGTGTCAAGCTCAACACTTCTGCAGAGCAGATCCTTCACACGGTGAGCTGACTGCAAATATGCTTAGCCAAGCAGGGATGCTCCCAGCAGCAGCCCAGTGGTTGTTATTAGAAATAGCAAATTTCCACCCTGCCTTCAACAGCAGCAGCTCCTTTTGTGGGACTGACCTCCCAGGTGGGGTCTGCAGACACAGACTGGCCCTGGGAAGGGGTGGCAGTGGGGGGACATCACCCTGCAGCAGCAGCGGGAGAAGGGACAAGACAGGAGAAGCCCTCAGCAAAGTGCCCTGGAGAAATTAATGCACATTGCTCCAGAATCACTGCAGCTAATTGGCCTTTGCTGCCCAGAACAGGCTCTCAGCTCTCCCCCAGAGCTGGGAATTTCTCTTTCCCTCAAGTACCCACTCACTCAGGTTGTAGCCAATATTTGGGGCAAAGAAGGTTTTAACCCAGAGCTCCAGCCCAGCAGCTGCTTGAACCTCCACTGCCCAGGACACCACAGAAGGGCAGGCTCTGCAGAGCCCCCCCAGCAGCCCAGTGCAGGCCAGGATGGGAAAAAGAGACACAAGAATGTCACTAAGAAAGCACAATACAAGAGCATCCTCACAGGGCTCTACTGCTCCATCCCAGCCCCCAGAGCAGAAGAACCAGCAGCTGCTTCCAGAGATGCAGAGAAACCTCAGCCCAGTCTGAGCAGTGCCAGGGACAGCCCAGCTGCTGCATGGAGCAGTGGCAAGGAAAGTTAAGAGTGGTACCTCCTCCAGTGATTCCTCCTCAAGTGATACCTCCTCCAGTGGTTCCTCCTCCAGTGGTTCCTCCAGCAGCATCATCCCTCAGGCACCAGCACCAACACCCTCCTCTGCCTCCTTTATTTAAGCCACCAGGGCCCAGATTGCCCATTGCCCCCAGCTGCCTTCCCACTGCAGCCTTTAACCCCTTCCCATCCCCAGCTCACGGGGTGCACGGCCCCTCCAGCCCCTGCCCCTTCCTCACCCTGGGGGCAGCAGCAGCAGCTCCTGTGCCCAGACCCTGCGCTGGGGCTCCCTTGGGTGGGTTTTGCTCAGGGGATGAGTCCTGCCCTTCCTCTGCGAGGACAGATTCCAGATCCTTTTTTTTTCAATGCTGAGGAATCTTTTGCTGATTATCCTGTCTCTTTTTTTTTTTTTCTCGCTCCCTTTACTGTTTTTAACTGATAAGATGTCCCACCAGATATGGCTCTGCATTGGGAAAGGTACAGAAAGCGGATGGTGGTTTTTTCCTTCTATCTTTTATCCATCTTAGTCTTTTCTCCCTGGGAAAGGAGGCTCCTGCCGTGCATCCCTTCTCCTGATAACTGGTGGCCCAGGCTCATCTCACTCATTTGATGGAGTAAAGCCATCTCAAGGGTATTTTCAACCATTCAGCTGTCCCAGACCCAGGACAGAAAGCCACCTCACACCCAGGGCTGTCCCACCAGGAGCTCAGTGATGTCCCACAGGGCACGGGGACGTGCCCCCTGGAGCTGAGAAGGTTGTTGTTGGTCAGATCCCAGTGTGTGGAAACGAGAGGCAGGGGCAGACAAAGGCAGTGAAACCCAGAGGAAAATCAGCCCCTTGAGCATCCCCCAAACCGTTCCTCTGCAGTTCGGCTACATGCGAGAGTATGATTTTTAATGCAACGTGTAATTAGAGAGTGTAAGTCAGCCAAAAAGATTTTATTGAGCCAGAGAATTAGGCAGTTGCATGAGAAATGAGAGCGGGTGCTGTTGCACCAGCCAGTTGGGAATGGAAATGTCGGGGGCAGAGCCCCCAGCCCCCTCCACCCCCAACACCTCCCTTCGTTGCCGAATGAAAAGAGCCTTTGCAGAGATTAAAATGAATTTATTATTTCACAGTCGGTATTTACATCACATCTGGAGCAGGTATTACGTACTTCGTTACAAAAAATGTCTAAATGATGAGTCCCCCTGATGGCAGTTGGGGGGGGGGGGTACCGGCCCCTCCTGAGCAGCCACAACCCCCCGTGTGGGGTGGGGGTACTGGGAGGGGTCGGCCCTGTTCCCCCCAGAGATGCTCTTGTTTTGGGCGAGTGCAGCCTCCGGGGTCCCCAGCCCCACTGACATCGGGAGCAGGGGGTCTCTCCCCCTCCAGCTGCCCCACCGGTGTGTCCTGGAGAAGGTGATGAGTCCAAGGCCAGAAGATGGTACATTTTTCTTTATTTTTAATTAATGCAAAGGAGCCTGGCTAGGTCTGGGTCTCTGGCTGGGCATCCACAGAGCGTCGGGCACATCAGCCCATGGAGAGAAGAGGCTTCCTGAAATTCGGTTGCAAACACAAGCAGTAACTTGGTGCCTGGGACTTGCACGGCAGAGGATGGATATTAAACTTGCAGCCTGATTAATGCAATTTCCGAGGAAGGAGAAACCAGCAGCATACTCCATGGAGACATTCCACCATCTCTGGGGGCTGACAAGGTGCCAGACACCCCCGGCCATGTCGCCACACGTGGTCACAGCAGCCAGGTCCCGGGGCAGGGAAAGAACATCCCTCCCGAGGTGGGAGCAGCCCCCCCGGCCCCCGGGTGACACAAGGTCAGGCTCAGAGCTCAGCCCCTGCTCCTGGGAAGCCACCGAGCCAGGGACCACGAGCCAAACAGGGCTTCACACAACCACTGACCTCCCAATTCCTGATGGCAACCCTGATTCAACATCCTCGGAGATGGGGAAAGGCAACTCACAGCCATGATTTCAGCTATTATTTCAGAATAAAGCCCATTTTGGGGGGACGCTGTCTGTCTGTCTCTGTATTGTCAACAGCTCTTACAGGACTGGAGTGGTTTATTTAAGAGGATGGGAAAATGAGCCCATTTCTCAGACAGTGAGTGCGTCCACCATGGAGTGACAGGAGTCTCACAGCAGTGCCGGGGCCCCATTCTTGCAGCCTCGGGGAAGCGGGGGCTCAGCGGATGCTCCGATCTGGTACCTGGCAGGGTCCCACCAGCAGTCACGGGATGCGGGACGGCAGCCCTGGAGCATCCCTCCTGTGCAGGCACAGCATGGCCATGCCACGTCCCGCTGCTCCCAGCCCCACAGAGCTCTGGGGCCCACGGTGAGGCCAGTCAGTCGCCACCGAGCCAGAGGGGGGCTACCGTGTGACCTGCGGGCAGAGAGAATCATAGGATCATAGGATCATAGAATTGCCCAGGCTGGAAGGGACCTCCAAAGGCCATCTAGTCCGACCCCCCCGCAGTCAGCAGGGACACCCCCAACCAGACCAGGTTGCCCAGGGCCTCGTCGAGCCTCTCCTTGAATATCTCCAGGGAAGGGGCCTCAACCACCTCCCTGGGCAACCTGTTCCAGTGCTCCACCACCCTCACAGTGAAGAACCCTCTCCTCATCTCCAGTCTAAATCTGTTCCCCTCCAGCTTGAAGCTTGAAGGAGTGGGCAGGAGCCTGCTCATGGCAATGTCGAGCTGCTCGCAGCGGGCAAGTTACCCAACACATTCACCAATTCCCCTGACTGCAAACTGCCAGCAAACAGCCCCAGAAGATGCAAAACATTATTTGTTCTTTGCATTTAATGGGGTGGTCATTCCAAATTTCAGCTTGTGATGGTTTGTGAACCCCATGCTCGGGATACAGCCTCCGCTGGGGGGGTCTGTCTGCAGAGGGGCAAATCCTAACAGGGCACCCAAAAGCCTTTCGAAAACATAGGTCTGCATTAGTATTAGGAATTATTTATGTTAGGAAATTTTTTTTCACCGAAAGGGTTCTCAGCCATTGGACTGGGCTGCCCAGGGAGGTGGTTGAGGCACCATCCCTGGAGGTGTCCAAAAGATGGGTTGATGTAGTGTTGGGAGAGATGGTTTAGTGATGGTGTTGCTTTTTGTTTGTTGTGTGGGTGTTTCTTTTTGTCAAAATTAGGTTGATGGTTGGACAAGATGATCTTTAAGGTCCCTTCCAACCTAGAAGATTCTGTGATTCTGTGATTTCCAAACTGCAGCCTCCCTGGGGCAGGGCGAGGGACCCAAAGGGACCCAAAAGGGTGCCAGCCCCTCGGCCATGGAGTTGGGGGCTGCTGGACAAGGGAGGAGAGGAGAAGCCCTGGGGTCCTGTGGATGGGGAGGGTCTCCAGCGAGAGCCCAGGACAGCAACACCAGAGCAGGGGCTTTGGGCTACGTGAGCAGCGGGGGGGAAACCAAACAAACAATACTAAGATGGGAAAAAGACAATGAGCTGAAGCTTGTGCTGCAGTTACTGGTCACTGGTGGATGCCCAGGGCCAGAGGAACCTTCTTGGACATCCATAAAAATTCTTGAGCATGAAAGTGCTTTCAGTGCACAAAAATAATAGCAATAATGAGAAAAATCCCAACATCACTTCATACAATAATTTTATGGCAGAGGATGTGGGGTGAGAAAAACTAAAGCATAAGGAATAATTACGCTCAACAGTATGAACAATGATCACAAAATTATGCAACTGATTAACCATGGCATATATGTAATTACTAATGAGTTTGATAAAATTTTAATTATACCTTGTTCTTCGGGGCATTCAGCAAGCCATGAAAATAATAATCATGTAGCACTCTGCCACAGATGATTGCCTCAGACGGGGGAGCGGTGACGGGTTCAGGGCTGTGTCGCTTGGCTGGGACGAGGAGATGCTGGGGAGCAGCCAGGAGGGGCCAGAAGCCCTGAGCTGGTACAGGGGCATCCCCAGCACGTTTGCTCGTGGGCTGAGCCACGCAACGCCCTCCTCACCATGGGAGTTATTGATCAGCAAAGCTGTGGGATCCACATGGGGTTTGTGCCACCCCCGCTGGCCCCTCCAGCACCAGTGACAACAGCCCAGCCCGGTCCCTCTGCTCTGCATCCGTAACAAACAGCACGTGCCCTGGAGATGCCAAGGGTCCCCTTCCCCTGAAAACCTTCTGAGGATGCTTTCCTGGGCTCTGCTTGCCCCAAGCTGGGGACAGGCCAGCCAGGTCCGCCCCCCAGCCCCCTGCCAGGGGACGTACCTTGGTTGTCTTCACTTTGTTGCCGCTGCTGCAGCTCCAGCCCGAGAGGTCGGGCAGCACCTTGCACTCCTCCCCGGCGAGGCAGGGCTCCATCTGGCACCACCACTTCTGCAGCACGATGGAGGCTGGGGGAGAACGGGGTGTCAGCAGCCAGGCTGAGGCTCTGGGGCACAAGGACCCAGCACAGCAGTGGCCGGGGGGGCTGCTCTGGGCTGGTGGTGCCCTGGGGACAGCCCCTCTCTGCGACCCCACTGAGGAGCCGCTCATCTCCTGCCCATCCTCATCTGTCCCAACTGCTCCACCTGCCCCCAAAGTGCTGCTTTCTCTCCCTGCCCCAGGGAAAACAATTAAGGACAGCCCTGACCTCACTCCCGACACGGGCAACGGGGACCAGTGTTGATCCCCGACCTACTGCAGGCTCCTCTTATGGGGGCAAAGGGACTGTCTACCACTGTCAGGCTCTTCTAATTGATGCCTCCACTCTGGGTACCCAGAACGGGCTCCCCTGTCTTTGGGAAAGACACACACATGCTGTTTGGGACAACAAAAGCCTCCCCTGACAGTCCATCCTGGATTTCTTGGTGGTGCACACAAGTGTGCTCACAGGACAATGGCTGTCACGCTAATCGGTACCACACCAGCAGCTGATGCAGCCACCCCTGACGGCTCTTCGGTGATGCCACGTGATGCCATTCAATAAAATATACATTGCTGGAGCTTTGCTTAGTGCTCCTCGCAGGTGATGGACGGCTGGAGTCGTGTCCCTGCCTCCGGCAGCGGCAGCACGGCGAGCAGACGTGCAGGGATCAATGCTGTGGTGCCCGGCCCTGGTGCAGCCACGAGCTGGAGGAGCTTGAACCACTGGAGCACCATAACCCACCACGGGACACGGTCTGGGGCTGTACAGAGGGGGGTGACACAGCCAGAGCAATGGGGTGTCCTCAAATGCTCCCTCTGCCCCATTGCAGGAGCCACTGGGCAGGTCCCTCTGTTAACCCTGGGGACACAGAGACCCCGCACCAGCCGGATGGAGGGGGAAGACGTGGTTGGGGGTTGCACGGGACCCTGTGTGTGGCCACGGGGTACTCACCATCCACGCAGGAGGGAGCTGCCCGCGTCGTCCCCGCCACCTGCCCCGGGAAGCAGGAGCATTTCACCGTCTGGGAGCGCTCCTCGATCTTGTTCTTATTGCAGCACCTGTGAGCTGCAATGACCTCGCACGTGCCGGGCTCGACGTGCACTGCAGGAGGAGAAAGAGCCATCGTCACCCCAGAAACCCCCCGGCCACCTCCTGCCCCCCTGGCAGCGCTGCCGGCATGTGCCCTCCTGCATCTGAGCTCTCACTCCTAATGGCCCTCACACCCCTCCTGCCCAGCCAAATTAATGGCCTCTTGCCACGGCCGAGCCAAGCGCTGTAGTGAACCGAACAAGCACATTAGTTAATTGCAGCTGATAACGAGATGCACACTGTGCTCCCGGAGGGGATGGGGCATCGTGCCACCTTTGGCTTCAGTCAGTGCTCCCCTCTCACCATCACACCCCGTCCTCCGGCGGGGGGAGGGATGGCGTCTGCGCCCTGCGGTGACACAGAAATGTCACCGTGTTCATCAGAAACCCGGGGCTGCTCTGCTGCTCCCCCCCTCCCAGTGCCATTAAAATATTAAGGAAGAAAGAAAACGAATGTGCTGGCTTATCACCTCTGGGATCCGGGTTTAGAAGCTAGTTAGCATCGCAAATCAATGGCTTTCGCTGGGTAACGGCCCACACAAGCACAATACAAATTAGCCAAATGGGGCTGGTTTGACTTCATTCCCATGACCTGGGAGCGGGTGAGCCCTGCAGGTCCCGTTTAATGAGCTGGGGAGGAGGGAGCGTGGAGCTGCACACCGAGAGTCCCCCGGGTCACCGGGAACAGCCTCTCACAGCAGCAAGCTGGGGCCGGGCTGCGGGAGGATGGGGGAGCCCTATTTCTGCAGTCTGACATCCCGAAAGCGTGCAGATCCGCAGGCACCGCGCCGTCAGACCCAGCTGCTCCCCATCCTCTGCTTGGGAGCCCACACTCAGCCCCTTCCACACTCCAGGATGAGGGCAGGAGCCCCACGGGAGGCATTGGTAGCCACCGGAGGAAGGGGCTGGGAAAAGGGTGGGTGGAGGACGTGCAGGGGATGCTGTGGGGAGCAGTGGGGTGTCAGCACAAGCCCACACTCAGCACTTGGGAAAAGGGTGGATGGAGGACATGCAGAGGACGCTGTGGGGAGCAGTGGGGTGTCAGCACAAGCCCACGCTCAGCGCTTTCCCTGCACGGGTGGCTCTGGCTGTCACTGACCCACAGTTGGGCACCTGTCCGTGCCATGCCCCCCATCCAGCCTCAGCTCCCAGCTCTGCTTCCAGCTGCCAGGAGGGTCCTGCTGAGGGTCCCCCCCTTCACCCTCAGTCCCGCAGGTTTGTGTTGGTGTCCCCAGCCCAGCTCTGCAGGAGCTGCCGCAGGAAAGGGACCGGGGAAGGCTGATGTCCCCCCAGCATCCCAGGAAGTGCTCCCGGGGTCCCCGGGGACACAGGCAGCCCGTCCCCCCAGCAAACACCACCTGCCTTCCAGCAGCTTTTGGAAAGCAGCCACCTCACCTCCTCAAACAAAAGCTCAGAGAAATGGGATCTCTCCCCCGGCGTGGGGGAATCCCTCTGCCTTGCAGCAGCATTTTCACACACATCCCTGCTGGGAAACACCAGTCCAAGTCCCTGTGCCAGCCGGGCACCGCCGTGCCAGCCTCCGGCCACAACAGCCCTTGTCCCTCTCCTATTCCCACCATCTGTGAGCACCAGCCAGGAGATGGAAGAAGTGGCCCCAGGACCCGCTCTCCAGTGATGCCACCAGCCCAGGGACAGGGCAGAGACACTCACTGCCCTGCAGAAAGGCCATGTCCTACAGTGGACACGGGCAGTGACAACACGGCTCATCCCTCACAGCCCTCTCCATTGGGGACCCGCACACCCCTGTGCCCTGCACCCGCTGGTACACAGGCAGGAGGGGCCATGCAATTACCACGGCTTTAATTTGGCTTTATTTATTGTTATTTCATGGTCATTTTCTTTTAATGAACCATCACTTTCATTTCCGCCCATAATAATTACCTATCCTGGAAGTATTTTGTAATAGCATCTCATAGCTATAAATTTTATCTTCCCTTTTAAATGCCATCATAATTCAGCTTTAATGATAATTTCCATTCCTTTCGTATGCAGAAACAGTACGATTGGTGAAAGTGAGAAGGAAAGCAACTCATTACAGGACAAACGTGACTGTTTTTGTCCTGTTTTCAGGGTTAATGGGATTTCTCAAATAACGTGAGGAATAAGCAGAGGTCTGTGGCTTCAGCTGACTACGAGCCCATGCTCTGGTTCAGGACCACGAGGAGCCACTCGCTCACCCTGAACACCCCAACACAGCCCCCCTGTCCCCCCCAACCAGGGGTTTTGTCCCCTCTATGTTCAGTGCTCGCATGATATTTGTGGGTTTTGGCTGCTTTTTAATGAAAGCCTCCCCGCAAAGCTTCATTAGCAGAGCTCTTCCCGGGAGGAAGGGCCAGCCGACCCCTCTGCTCCCTCTCATTTCTGCTCTCCGGCTTCTCATTTTCAGCTAATTTAAAAAGGTTCAGCTGGGGGAGAGCCAGGCAGAACTGAGAAATCGCTCATTACAGCCGTGCAATAAGAGTTCACTAACACGCCAAAGCCCTTTTAATTTCCTCAAAAAGGTGCAGCACAGAGATAAAGAGGAATTTGCCTCTCCTCTGCCTGCGGCCGAGCACGGCGGCAGCACGGTGCCAGACCCACCGCTTTGAGCCTGTGTCACCCACTGTGTCCCTGCCAGTCACACCGAGGACCCCGGCCATCCCAGCAGACACAAGGAAGGTGATTCCACCCGGACAGACGGACACAATCCATCTCCAGCTCACACCTTGCCCCCAGCCCTCCGGGGAAGGCAAAACCCACAGCCAAGGAGAGATGCTCTCAAACCCATGGCCGACCAGAGATGCTGTAAAACCCATGGCAGAACCAGAGTAGGCAGACCCTGCCGTAGGTCTGAGGGCATCTTATCAGAGATGCTCTCTCTGATAAAACGCTGCTTTGTGCTCCAGCCCTGCAGGACACAGCCCGGGGCTGCAATTAGCCCAAGCCCTGCCAGGGGTGCAGCTCTGCCCTTGTGCAGGGAGCAGGGAGGGCGGCTGGGAGCCTCAGAAGAGAAAGGTTCAGAAAGCCTTTGTTTTCCTTCCAAAGTGAACAGCTTTCCTTTGAGCCAGCCAGAGCTGACAGCGGGGTCAGGCAGCAAACTGCCCTGCCGGGGGTGGCTGCCTCTGCCCGGAGCACCATCACCAACAGCCAGGCTGGTCCCAGCTCACCCTCGGGCTCCTGCTCTGGGATCCAAACCGTGAGCAGCCCAAAGACAAACCAAAGCACCACAGAGGCACCAGTTCCCCCCTGGAGACATGCCAGCCCTACAGCAAGGGCTCTGCAGAGCAGGGGGGACAGCATGGAACCCCGGGACTGGGTCCTTTTTTGGGGGCATGAAATCCTTTCATCTGCCTGAAGGTCTCGGGAGCATCAGATATGCTGCCCTGGGACTCGGTGACACTGGGAACTTAGCCCAGGCACTTCTCTGCTGCACAGACCCCTCCAGGCTCGGGGTGTCCCCTCCCTCAGTGACATCTCCCAGCAGAGCTGCCTTTGAGCAGGAGAGCAGGGCCAGAGCCACCCCGCCTGGTGCAAAGCATCTCAGGTCCCTACACACCAAAGGGATTCACCACTCGCCTGCCCCTCGGCCGCAGGGACCACACCAGATGTGAGCACCACGGACCCCGACATCCCAGCGAGCTCAGGAGTCTAAGGGGCTAGACAGAGCTGCCTTCGAGCAGGAGAGCTGGGGAGCAGGGCCAGAGCCACCCCACCTGGTGCAAAGCATCTCAGGTCCCTACACACCAAAGGGATTCACCACTCGCCTGCCCCTCGGCCGCAGGGACCACACCAGATGTGAGCACCACGGACCCCGACATCCCAGCGAGCTCAGGAGTCTAAGGGGCTAGAAACAGGCATAAAAGAATCCCCCTGCGCCAGATACGGTGCCTCCAGGGTGTCAGAAAGTGACTTTGCTGTCTCTGTGCTGCAGAAGTGATGAGCAGCCCCATGCTGGGGGGGTCCCTGCCACGTCGGGCTTTCATGTCCCACCCCCTGGGAAGAGCTGGAGCAGGGAGAGCGCTGGGAGCTCCCTGCGGGTGCTTCTCCTTTTGCTGAGCAGCAGGAAACTTTGAACTAGATAGAGCTGAGAATGCAAATCAGATGGATGGAGTGTTTAACACCAAGAGCAGGAAAGCCCCAGAGAGCCTGGGATAAGTTCCAGAGCTTCTGGCACGTTTCTCCCTCCTATTTAACTGGTGTTCCCTCCCTGGAACCCTTTTTAAAAAAAAAAATCTTATCTCATGGAACCATAAAAGCATTGTAAGAGCACCAGGCTTTTGAATCCTGCATGCAAAAATAAAATAGAAACGCTGTCTTACTCTGGCTGACCTTTAAGTGAGCGGCAGAACATGGTTTTTTATGGCATAACCTGGAATGACACATTTTGTGTGTCTCAGGGCGGCGTGGGCACAGCTCCACATGTTCAGCGCGAAATATCGCTCTGGTTGGAGAGTGAAGGGAAGGGAAATTGAATGGATGTAACTGCCAGGTAATGCCCAAACCCTGCATCAAACCCCGTCCTCCTGGGCACTGAGATGCTGGGGTGGTGGGGTCCTGGGGACAGTGGGGACAGGGAAAGCCTGGGAGGGGGCAGAGGTCCCGACCCCAGGGCGGGGAGTGGGTCCCTGAGCAGCCGGTGGCGTGAGCAATCTGTGCCCTGCAACAGCCCCACCACTAATATCCACTAAATAGTTAAAGCCTTAAAATCACTGCTGCCTTAGACGCATGTATAATTGAAGAGGGTTTTGGAGAGGAGCAGGCTTGTTTTTATTGCTCATTATCGCTGTGGTGTCAGTTAGGATTTTTTACCACCTTGTCACCTCCAGACTCCACATCTTGCTCTGTCCCCCCTCGATGGATGCGCGAGTGTCTGCGCATCCGTGAGCTGCTCCTGCAAATCCCACCACTTCACACTTGCAAGCAGAAAACCAAGTGCCTGGGGTGCGTCGAGAGCAGCTGAAAGTGTTCTGAAAGCCTTGTGTGAGAGACCAACCTATGGTAGAGAATACAGCCCCCAGCACAGAGGACACAACCCCCGGCACACCACCTGCCTTCCTCTGCAGCACCCACTGGTGCTTCACCCAGAGTGGTTTCTGCCTCATTCTGCTTCGGAAAATACCTCCTCTTGGTGTAAAGGCTGCAGAGGATGGAGAAACCAGCAGTTCCCCAGGAGAGAGGGAATCTCGCAGAAGCATCTCACAAATGAAGGCCACGGAGCTGCCAGGCGCTGCCCAGTAAATCTCTCTTACAAGATTATCCGAAATCTGGGCTCTTCTTTCACTTGGAGATGAAAGCAAATCCCAGCTGACTGAATGCTGTTACTTCTGCTCCGGGCTGAGTGATGCACGTGAAGGAAGGCAAAGCTGGCACGTTGGTTACCGGCACCGGGGGGGTTTGTCTGATGATGCTGGGGCCACCTTTGCAGGAGCTGTGCCTGGACAAGCCTGGTTCATCAGGTAGAGCCCACCACGTTACGCGGGGGATGGAACTGCTGGTGACTCATTCTTCACCGAGGACTCTCCTCTTCCATTTCCAAATGACTTAATCTCCACACTTCACTCATGGGGCTATTTAAATCCAGCCACACACCCCGGGAAGCACCGCTCTGCTCGGACACAGCAGCAGCCCCCACGTGCGGGGTGAGCACAAGTGATTAAATCCCATTTCCACAGCCAGATGTTTCTGTGCAGTGTTTCCCTGGACGCTGACAGAGGGTCTGTGTGTGGGGTCTCTCTTCAAGAAATTCATGATTTTTGGGGCTCTGAAACCCTGTGGCCACACTGTTACTGTTAAAGACCTTCCTCTGCTGTGGCTCATTTTCAGGTGTCACACCTGGTTTTAGCTATGAATAAACACAATACTCTAAATGACTGAAAGCTCTGGATGTGTCTGGCCTTTTATGCCCACAATCTGTCAGCAGCTCCGGCACAGGGCAGACAACAGGAAAATAAAGCCCATGAACTCAGCAAGCAGGTGAAGAATTCCCAGTTTAAGCCCATGGAAATCCAGGAGGGAGAGGGGCAGCCACCAGTGTGGCCACACGAAATTCCCCCAGTGCCAGGAACCCAGGGTGTGCAGAGAGAAACCGTGTCCATACAGACACGGAGCGGGGTCACACTTTTAAGTATTTGCTCCTGGTACAGCCTCTTTGCTGGGGGTTAGAATGTGCTGGAATAAAAACCACAGGATTTGGTCCGTGCGGATCCCCAGCTCTGCCTGCGAGCGCACGAGAACCTGAGCCTGTCTCCTCCCGGATGGAGCGAGGCTCATACATAATTCACACCCACGAGCACACTTAGGAATTTGCACTATAAACCCAGGTGAATCCCTGCTTTATTAAGGCCAGGTCTGTCTCTTCCCCCAGGAAGCATCTCCCCTGCAAACCGCTGCTGCCGGGGAGGAGAGCCCGAGCCCCTGTCCCAGGGAACCCCGAGGTGGTGCCAAAATGTCATTCCAGGAATGACATGAGTTTTATCTTCTCATGCATCTGCCACACGTTAGAAAGAGGGTACGGCAGGTAACGCTGACGAGCTGCTTGAGGGAGTCACTCTGCAAGATACGTTTTGGTTTTAAGCAACGAGGATGGGGATTACAGGATTAGAGCTGCTTTAACTGTCAGGCAAAAACGACAGAAAGAGGACAGGGTTAGGTGTGGGGTCAGGCAAGGCAGGAATAATTTCAAATTAACCCTCAAATACCTTCTCTTGCAAACACAGGCACGAGACAACAGGCAGCACGTGCCCCAGGATCGCTCCATACTCCGAGCACTCGCCTCTGCCACACAACTCTGCCAGCACCGGCAGCTCCCACAGAGTCCTTCCACCCCCCCATGCTGTCCCCCCATCCACCCCCAGCATCCTTCCACCCACCCATAGCATCCTCCCACCCACCCACAGCATCCTTCCACCCCCCCACAGCATCTTCCCACCCAGATGAGGACCATATCCCCCCTCCAGTGCAGCCCATCAGGCTCCTGTGCCAGGCAGGATGGGCACAAAGGGCTGAGCATGACTTTCAGCAGGTTCTCTACTCAAGAGACAAACTTCAACCATGGATTCCTGTAACCCCTCCACCAGCTTGGTCACACAGACACACAGAGCAGGACCTCGAAGCTAGAGCTGGGAACACCTAATTAACACCCCCAAGCCAAGGCCGTGCTCTCCAGCGAGATTTCCAGTTCTACATCAGCTTATACTTGTTCCATATTTCAAGATGATCTTTACAACCAGAGGGCTGAAAATCTGTATTTCTTGTGAAAGGCTAAAATGGAGAGTACCCATCGCGTGACAAGTGTGGTCTATGACACTCATCATGACTTTGATGGAAAGAGCTGTGGCTTGGCTGCTCACAGATCAAGTAATAGCCTGAAAACATGGATGTGTCTCAAATAAACCTCAGTAATAACCTGAAAACACAGATGTGTCTCAGATTTCGCTACGGACATGAAGAAATTCACTTTCCAGCCCCCCAGACCAGCTCGGCTCACCAAGCAGCAGCTTTTAAATGCCCCACATTAAGTATTTCCAAGTCATAACTCCCAGGAACAGCTTTACTGCTCTATGGCTCCAGGTTCTTGCCCATCTCCGAGGAGCAGCCCAGGGACTTTCCCCCACACACAGACCCTCGAAGTGCAAATCCTACAGCTCTCACAGCAGCACTGGAGAGAAAACAGTGGTGCCTCTCGGTGTTTGTCTGCTGGACACTGCCCCACACCTTTGGCATACTCATCCTCACTGCCCAGACACCAGCCATGGGGCCAGACACTGAGGTCCCCTGGGCCATTGGCCTCTGGTCCCCAGAGAGACGCCTGCTTCCACAGCCAAGACCTCCTGCCCTCGTCCTCCCGCCCAAGAAGGAGGGATGGACCCTCATCAAACATCTCAGCCCCATGTAACCCCCACCCTGAGCATCCCAAGGAGACCCCAAGGTGCCACCAGTGTCATGGGGGCTCTGGGCGATTGCAGAGGAGCGTGATGCACGTAGCAAGGACTTTTCTCCTACCTGAATGGCTTCTGTGATGGGTGGAGGCCAGCGTCAGTCTTCCCCACAGCGTGGTAAGGCAGAGAGTGAGCACGAAAACCCATTTGCTCAGGCTTTGTATGTCTCTCTCACTCATTCTACCAAAAACAAGAAGAGACACATGAAGGACTGAGGAGGGTTGGAAGGACCCCACACACCAATGGTGCCACACGCAGCACCGCATCCCTGAACACGTGTGGCCACGGGGATTGGGGTGGCCTGGCTGCTGGAGACATGGCCCTGGGAGGCAGGACATGTGCCCAGGACAGGCTCAGACTCCTTCAGCATCATGGGCACCCCAGTGGGACAGAGAGAAATCACATGGATGAGTGAGTTACCTCTTATTGGGGTTTCACACCAAGGCCTGCGCATCGGCCAGCCGCGGGTGGGCCGGGGCTCTGCGAGGGGCAGACATCAGCGCGTCTGGAAGGAGATGGAGAAACACGGGTAGCGATGCCAGCTGTCAGTACCGGGGGGTGTGGGTCCCCCAGGGGTGGCTGGGGACAGCCCGGAGCTTGGCTGGTCCCACATCACCCCCCCAACATCCTGCAAACCTCCCCGGGGACCCCGCTCACCCCCACAATGGCAGCAGGACCCCGGCTGCTTCCCGGGTGTCACTCCCGATTCTCACTCCTGAGATTCTCACAAAACCTGCCCCGTTATAGTACGTTATTAAGGCAGATCACAAACACTAAACACAGACTCAGGGTGCGTGGGAAGAGCCGGAGTAAACCCGCAGTGAGTCATCCCAGGTATCACAGAATCTTCTAGGTTGGAAGGGACCTTAAAAATCATCTTGTCCAACCGTCAACCTAATTTTGACAAAAATAGACACCTGCACAACAAACAAAAAGCAACACCATCACTAAACCATACCTCCCAGCACTACGTCAACCCGTCTTTTGAACAACTCCAGGGATGGGGCCTCAACCACCTCCCTGGGCAGCCCAGTCCAATGCCTGAGAACCCTTTCAGTGACAAAATGTTTCCTAATATCCAGCCTGAACCTCCCCTGGCGCAACTTGAGGCCATTTCCTCTGGTCCTGTCGCCTGGGACTTGGGAGAAGAGACCAACCCCCAGCTCTCTATACCCTCCTTTCAGGGAGTTGTAGAGAGCAATAAGGTCTCCCCTCAGCCTCCTCTTCCCCAGACTGAACACCCCCAGCTCCCTCAGCCTCTCCTCATAAGACTTACTCTCCAGACCCCTCACCATCTTTGTCGCCCTTCTCTGGACCCGCTCCAGCACCTCAATATCTTTTTTATGGTAGGGGGCCCAAAACTGGACACAGCACTCGAGGTGGGGCCTCACCAGTGCCCAGTCCAGGGGGACAATCACCTCTCGGGCCCTACTCCCCACGCTGTTCCTGATACAGGCCAGGATGCTGTTGGCCTTCTTGGCCACCTGGGCACACTGCTGGCTCATGTTCAGCCGACTGTTGACCAACACCCCCAGGTCCTTTTCTGCCAGGCAGCTCCAGCCACTCTGCCCCCAGCCTGGAGCGCTGTATGGGGTTGTTGTGGCCCTGCGCGGTTACGTGCCACCATCACTCTGGCATCACCGAGGTCCCTTGCAGTGACACCCAGCGTTTGGCTCCCACAGGCTGGGCACTGCTCAAACCACTCACTGACAGACAGATGGACAGACAGATGGACCCATGGCACTGGCTGGCCCAGTGCCTGGCCACCCTCCTGCTTGGTGGAGCTGGTGCTGGACGGGGAAGCTGAGGAACGGGGCGGCTGGTGGTGGACACGATGAGCCCCCGGCAGCACCGGGACCCACACCCCCCTGTGCCAGAGCAAGGCCTTGTTCTGGGGCTGCTCCTTCCCTCAGCGCAGCAGAAAAGTTCATAAAACCAGACAGACACCAGTCTGCGTCCACTACCTCTCAACACCAGTCCCCAGTAACATCTCTTGCCACCTCCGTGCACGCCAGGGCCACATGCCACCATCACTGCCACCAGCACCGCGCTGCCACCCCTCCCACACCATGCTGGGAAGGAAGAGTTTTACATCATCTGGAGCCCTTAAGGAAAGATTTCAACCCCCCAAGACTCGGTGTTTTACTGTCGACTGCTCTAAACACATTCTCTGGACCATTTATCAGCCGCAGCCCCATAGGAGGACGCGGCTCTGGGGCTCGGCAGCAGCAGCTCAAGCAGTGACAGCTCTGACAGCGATGTCTGTGCTCGGCATCTGCCGGGTGAAGGGACAACCTCCCGGCAGGTCAGCGCCTGCTGAGACCTCACTGGGTCCAGGGCAAGCAACCACATCCCCCATAAAACCTCAGTGCCGGGTCATAATTAATTAATGAGAGGCCATGAAGACAAGCAGCGATGATGCCGGGGCTGGGGAGCGCTGCCAGGACCAGGCAGGGGTTCCTGGGGCTGTCCCTGCCCTGGGCAAGGCTCGTGCCCGTGGTCCCCATCCTGGTGAGCTGTGATGCACCAGCCCCCCTGCTCTCACCCACCGGGGACAACGAGGCAGCGTGGGATTCTGGCCAGGGCTGTTGGGAGAAGAAATCTTCAGTTTCTAACCATCTCCCAAAGTCCTATCTGCTCGGGACCAGGCTGAGACAGTGAAAGGTGCCCATACAACGAAGCGCCAGGACAGAAAACCCTGACATTTTTAATCAAAACAAAGCAATTTGAGGTGGTAAAAGGGCATTTATTGTTTTGAAGCATTTCAAAATGAATTGTTCTGTTTTAAACTGACATTTCGAAATGAAAAATGTTTCATTCCGAAACACTGATTTAAAAGGATCTTTTCCATTTTGATTCTCCCAGCTGGAAAAAAAAATATCAGAAAATGTCACCAAAAACACTGACATTTGCCCAGAAAAAAAAAGGGAAGGTATCCTGACAAAAACCACTTTTTTTATGGTAGAATAGAATTTAGAGGTAAGAAAACACTCCCAATTAATGCTGCGGGACAGTCAGCTTGGCCGGGAGTGTAGTTGTGGGGGGAGCATGGGCATCCTGCTCACCAGCCTGGCCCCTGGCTCCATCCCTGCCTGCCCGGTGACAAGGACTGTCCTGCTACAGGACAACCTGGCTCAGGGTACACCCGGCGATGGGGGCACCAACCCTGAGCCCCCCCATCACCAGAGCCAACCCCAGAGGGCTTCAAGGGCAAGAAAAGCATCGCTCCTGGAGGTGGGCATGAGCTGATGTGACCAGACTGTGCTGATTCCCTCCTGTAAAACCATATTCAGGCCATTCCTGGTGCTGCTGTGGGGCTGTCAGCAGCGTCTGCTCTGCAAGAGGCTTCCTCAGAGTGGGATTTTCACACAGCAGCCTGCACCGCCGGCATCCCCTCGGAGATGTCACAGCCCGTCACGTAAATATTGGTGGCAGCTTAAACCCTGTGCTGTTTCCTCCAGGAAAAAGTAAAGGCCCCTCTCGGAGCTGCTCAGCCCTTCCTGTAAATCCAGGGGCAGTGCCTGTGTCAGCACCCAGTGCTGCGGCACGTGTGTAGGTGTGCACACACACAGATGTACACACACGTGTGCAAACACACACCTACACACCTGCACGCATATACCCCGGCCAGGGGAGCCAGGGAGGAGCCGTGCCCCAGCTGGGCTGGCACATGTGCCTACAGCACACATCTGTCCTGCCCCACCAAGGGGCACATCTGGCAGCCCAGATGTGAGGGCAGCAGGCACGGGGCTGTCACCAACCTCCACATCCTGTGGCAACAAGCCCCCAACACGCACCCGGTGCACCTTCTGGGGGGCTCAGCCTGCACCGAGCATCCCCGCTCTCCCAGCCACCGTTCCAGCTCCCTCTCCAAGCAGGACCATGCCCAGGCTCCCAGGCACGAGCCCTGAGCCCCACAACCCACCCAGAGCCCCTCCAGAGGTGCCCAGCCCCAGCTTCTCCCCATGGGACCCTTCGGACCACATGGGGTCTCCAGGAGATGTCCCCGAATCTCTCCTCTGGCCCAAAAAGCCCGCAGACCGCTGGGCACCTCCACCCCTCCCAGGACAGGGACGTGCTCCCAGTGCAAACTATATTTAGCTGAGAAAGGCTGAGCTGTTTGCTACGGCCAAGGAAACATAAATAAATGAGGGGGTTATCAATAATGCAGCCTGCTCCAACTACCTGAAAGGGCGCCGAGCGGCAGGAGCCAAGCTGGCGGCCGGAGGAGCAGGAGGTGACAGGGTCCATCCCCAGCAGCAACCATCGCAGAGATGTTCCCCCCTCCAAAGCCTCTCAGGGGCTCCCACTCACGCACAAACTCCCATTAGAAAACACAGCTTCGCAGAAATTGCTATTTTGACAGTTATCAACCTCCGTCGTCATGAGACTCCAACTACAAGTGTTTGGTCTGACTTGAAATTTTTCAGCCTTGGAGTGTCATTTTGAAACGAAGAGTGGCGTTCTGGCACGTCAAAGCACTTAATTTTGATTGAAAATATCAGAATTCTCTCTTCTGTTACGTTCTGTTTGGAATTTCGGTGGAATTTTTCATTAACATTGTTGGCTGCTTTCCGCCTTCTGGGCCTGAGCTGGGACCTGGAGAAACCACAAAGTGCCCCAAATCTCTCTGAAGATGAACCTCAGCCGTAGCCAGAGGAGATGGCAGGAGACAACTGTTCCTCCCCACGAGTCCACATCCCTCCCCATGGGCTTGGGCTGTCTCCCCCACCGCAGCCTCCTCGAGGCTCCCCCAGCCCACAGACACCCAGGCACAGTGGGAGCAGCTCCCTGATGCCCTCCCAGACCCCGGCCATGGCATCTACAGGCTTGTTCCTCCTTCTTTGATAAAGCCACACGTCGAGCTGCAGCCCCCAGCCAGGCCTGCTCCCTCACAGCTAACGAGGGACTCTCTGTCACACCAAATTATGCTCCGAGCCCTGCAAACGCTGCTTTGGACTGGCAAAGGTCTGTGTGAGCCAGATAGTGACAGTTAGCAGAATTCCACCCAAAAAAAGAATCAGAGCGAGGAGGGGGAGGGCTGGCACATCGGCTGCTCTCTGTGCCCAGTGACACAAGCTGCAGCTCTAACACTCTCAACCTTCACACACATCTGCCCCCCCCAGTTCCGCTGCTGTCCCAGAAGCTATTTTGCTGTTTCAGCGCTTCTTGGTTCTTGGGCACCTCCCTTGGGTGCAGGAAGAGGCTTTGGCCCCATGGAGCAGGATTCTGGGGTCCGCAGTGCCGGGCAGCCCCACACCACAGAGCACAGAGGAAACCCAGCCAGATCCTACAACTACCTGAAAGGAGGGTGTAGAGAGATGGGGGTTGGTCTCTTTTCTCAAGTCACAGGCGACAGGACCAGAGGAAATGGCCTCAAGTTGCACCAGGGGAGGTTCAGGCTGGATATTAGGAAAAATTTTTTCACTGAAAGGGTTCTCAGCCATTGGAATGGGCTGCCCAGGGAGGTGGTTGAGGCCCCATCCCTGGAGGTGTTCAAAAGCCGGGTTGGTGTATAGCTGGGAGATATGGTTTAGTGATGATGCTCCTTGTTTGTTGTGTGGGTGTCTATTTTTGTCAGTTAGGTTGATGGTTGGACAAGATGATCTTTAAGGTCCCTTCCAACCTAGAAGATTCTGTGATTCTGTGATCCCAGCAGACACAGAGACCTTCCCGCGAGCCTGGGGCTGTTACGCTGCCCGTTGGAGGGGGTGATTTTGTTTCAATACTTCCCTGAAGCAAGAATTCAGACCATCTTAGCAAATGCCCCACCGTGCAGGACCCAGGAATTGGCTGCACCTCCAAGACCACCCTGCGCATCCCTGCCGTG